ACAAAGATAACAGCTAGTAACATTTTGCATGAATGGGTGATAACACATGCACACGTATACATGCATACATAAGGACAAATATGCATGCACACGTACGCCCAAACATAGATAGATAGATAGATAGATAGATAGATAGATATACTGAGGTCAACACCAAGAGGTGACAATTTGTTTCATGCTTCAGGACGTATATATATATATATATATATATATTTGTGTGTGTGTGTGACATCGTCAGATAAATTCTGCCTAACTAGAGTATATTGAAAACATTACCCCCACAATATTTTCCGAAGAACTTTTTCAGAAATTCTACTATTGCCTATGTCAGTTTGTGTGCGTGTGTGTGCGTGCGTGCGCATGTGAAACAGGTAAATCCCGTAGAATGGAGCGTACGCACTTGCATATAGCTTTCATGCGCACACACATCGAAATAAACGGAATTACAATAGGAACAGACACACAGACAAACGTAAATGTATGTTCAAAGATGTAAACGTACAATAAAAAAACGTTGAAAAGAATACGAATTACTTTATGCATTTCTCATTTTTTCACAATGATACACGCAATATATAATTTAAAGAAATTTGCATAGAGTCTTTACACACACACACACACATATATATATATATCTATATATATATATATATATATAGAGAGAGAGAGAGAGAGACAGAGACAGACAGAGAGAGAGATAGATACTTATGAAAATAATACACAACAAACATGAAATTATATCTTAGTCATACTTTACCTTAGTTAAAAAATCTTACAAAATATTTTTGTATACATATATATGTATGTATATAAGAATAATTACAGTTGCATATAATTCAATGTCAAATAACATTCAATATTTATGTAGCGTCACAACACATCATGCATAGATACCCACATGCGCGTGTACACGTACATCGATATGCACGTGTTTTTCCAGGCGTCAAGTAGATACAACGACAGATAGTCAGACAGACAAGAAGAATAGATAGATAGATAGATAGATAGATAGATAGAAAGAGTTGGACCTCATAATCAGCAGTTTCATTTAACTGCGGATAGCCGAATAAAAATATTTTGTGTTCATCATGATAAATTAAACTATAGTGATTTCACAAAATGCATTTAGATGAAGTAAAATATAATTAAAAAACGTATATACGTGGCATACATCTGTAATAATAGTATCTGCTGTCGGCTACTGCGTAAAGTTGTAAACAACGTGTGGCACTGTTCTCGTAGCCGCTCAACAAAATAAATGATTAAAAGAAGTTCCGGGCTATTGGAGTTGTCGGAGCATGTAGTGCCAGAGTAAAGAGGTCGGACATTAACACATTTTCAATTAACAACAAAGATTGTAAAATAGACATTTCTTAGTTATCCTTTTCATTTGTTTAACTTTTGTGCAACTATTTTTCACTGCTCTCTATAGCTATCAGTTTCGCATTAAATCTGACGGAGTCTTCACCGGATGAAAGAACCTTTCTAATGTCATTCTGATCAACTGAGATCAAAGCCTGAATTGCTTACCAAGTCAAAATGCGTAATTTCAACTAGTCTATTAAATTATACACAAAACACACACACACACACACGCGCATATTTATTAATTTATATATAATTATATATGATATATAATATATATACTATTATATATATATGTATATATCTAAATTCTTCATATATATTTTATATATGCGTATGTGTATTATATATATATATATATTATAGATATTCTATATATATATGTGTGTGTGTGTGCGGTGCTTATTGCATATATGCCTCCGTGCGTATTAGTGTCATTCCAAAAACGGACACAGAGGAGAATTACCCCAACACCCCCACCAAATATAATCCAACAAAAACTGCCATAGTCTCAAATTTTAAAAAATAAATCAATTTGTCTGAGGATCGCATAAGCGTGAAAAATCAGTCACAAACTCATACCCATATAACTATATATATATATATATATATATATATATATATATATATATATTTGTTGAAATTTGTGAAAGTCAGATGTTTAAATTTTTTTATTCTGTTGTGTCTGGAAAAGCATCATTAGAATGATTGGAAAATATGTTGTGTGTGTGTGTGCGAGAGATTTGATTCGAATAGCACCAAAGATCAAAGGAAGATAATACTTCAGCAACCTTTCAAGAGGAAATAGTCTGTCCTCAAAATCTGAATCCAAAAAATTTAACTTTTAATTAACCTCAATCAAGTACGATGCGGTCTCACACGTTTTTTGTATAAATTGATAAAACAACATTTCCTGACTTTCTATTTTGAAAACAAGGGACTGAATACAGAATTGGAAATCGGTTTTAACTTTGGTACACATTCTTATCTAATATATATAATTTTTCATCATCCATAGTCCTTACCAACGCATTTTTTAATGTTATGATTTTAATGTTCGATACGTGCATGCAAACTTGAAATAATCAATAAAAATGGGGCATCGCTCTCATGTAATAGTTCAGTGTTCCTGTGAATCGAAGGATTGATAAAACTTCTCAAAGTCATTTGGATACAGGACATGGAGGGGGAGATGAAATTTAGTTCGAAATCTTTTTCCATAAAATAAAGCAGAATTTGAAGGCATCTATTATCTTCATTCTTTCTAGGTATTCCATTCTAATTAGGACTACGTTCTTTTACGCAGAATTCATTATCTTTACCACACACACACACACACACACACACACACACACAGTACGAAGGGCGCTGAAAAGCTCCATTTCCAAAAATCTGAACAATTGATCATCGTCAGTTTATTTTTTAATTCCTTAAATGCCGGGCCGACAACTTTTGTCACCACCCTTCTCATATTGTTATTACATGCAATTATTTATAATTATAATTGCATATATTTCATTAAAAGAAAACTATATAATAAGAATATTTTGATTTTAATTTGCTACCGGAAACACATTCACACCTACATGATAATGCATGTATGTATAAACAAATGCGTGTACATATATATCCTCTTACCTAAATAGGTTAGTTTATTAAGTTGAAAGATCCCCTGCCCCACCCCCACAGGACACCGACTTTATCACCTGGTTTACCTTTGATTTATGAACGTCTCTGCCCACATAAATGTATTGACGGTTATTTACCTGCTTGTTACCGAATCAAACTCGAAAGAAAATTTGGTCAAATAAAAAGAAGGGGGAAAATTCTTTCTGCCATATTTCGTTTCTATTTATTTTTTATAGACGCGTAACGACCAAGGTATACATTGTCGCACACATGTAAATACATATCTACATAAACACACATAAGAAGACCAATTATGCTGTAGATCAATTATTTAGCGAGTTCATTTCTCTTGCTCTCTTTTAATTCAGTGAGCTTCTTTCTATTGCGACCTTGTGTCAGACTACACAACGATATTAGGAATTGCCTGTATATGTCCGCAGTCAAATTGCTAAATGCAATTTTACAAATCTCACTCCGGAAAACTTTCATAAAACTCTTGGGTAGCGAATGCGCAAAACATTTTTTCAACTGTTCGGGAGTATATATATATATATATATATATATATATATATATATATATATATATATATATATATATATATATAAAGACATTTTTATGTTATACATTCTTTTATGTCTGAAATAATTAAAATGTCTTAAAATAATTGTCGAACTTTGTCCATTTCATAATATATATATATATAGATAGATAGATAGATATGTGTGTCTGCGTGTGTATGTATGTATGTATGTCTGTATGCATGCATAAACTGTATACAACTGATGTACAATGAAAGATTATGAAAAACATAGAAGACACATGCACACACCTATCCGTAAATACATGTATATGTTCACAAATGACTCGCGTATTCTTACATATTCGATTACAGTACACACACATTGACGCAATTATGATAATTCTTTTGCACAAATGTATGTACACTTTAAATTTTCTTTGAACACACACACATGAGCATGCGCATACAGACGCATATACACGTACACGCATATTTTGCAGGGCAGAAGATACTTTGTAAAAATGCAAAGAACTACATAACAAATCAAAAATTATTTATCTCATCATAAAAATAATATATAAACATAATAAAAAAGAAAAAATACATAATAAAAAATTTGTTTGCATAAGTTATAAAAACTTATGCAAACAAAAATTTACCTTTCAACCCCCCCGCAAAAAAAAAAAAAACAGATCACAAGCCAGTCTCCTTCCCAAAAACATTTATTAGCATTTACGTAAAAATGTGACATAGTACCGTAGTAGTGGGATCCCCAGTGATGATTTAACCCATTAGCTATTGATTTACGAAATTTTTACGCTATAAACACTCGTATATGTGCGTAGAGTTGGTTACGTAGAGTTGTTTAGTTTATAACTTGAGCCTAATTCATATCTATAAACAATCGCAAATAAATACAAACATAATAAATCTGAGTAAAACATAAAATTATGCAAACTACGATCATGCATATGCGTGTGTGTGCGCGCGTGTGTACGTGCGTGCGTTATTCAGTTAAACTCGCAAGCAAATTACTAGTAAATTTTAACATCACTAAATAATACTCTGTACATCGGAAAGTAAAAAAAAATAAATAAAAACCTAACACGTGCATGTATGTGTCGTTGAATATTAATATCAACGTCTGTGTGTGTGTGCATGTTGTCTTGTATGTGTGTTCACTTCATTTAATATTAATCTACTATTTATTATTTATTTACATGAGAACTATCCTCGTTTTTGTTGTTGTTATATCACCTCAATCACATCGCAACATAGTCCATATGTAAATTAAATAATGATAATTCTTTAATCTTTATCGTAGAAATTCAAACAGAAATTATGAAACTACTGTTGACATTTTAAGACAAATTTAGTATGGTTCAAGATCTCAGTAATCGAGCACACATTGGCAATTATTTTTTTTTTTTAGTTTATAGTGTGATCGTTAATAATTCACTTCTTGGATATCCATGACATAGTCCTATGCACACAATCACAAAAACTCACAATATTGAAGAAACGTACTTCAACAAAATCGATCACTTAAAAAAAATAGCATACTCTCACTCACACACACTCACTCACATAGTCAGTCAGTCAGTCTCTCTCTCTCTCTCTCTCTCTCTCTCTCTATCTATCTATCTATCTCTTTCGTTCACTATATTCAATATATTGCTTGCTAGCTAGCTACATATTGAATTAACACACACGACTTCATCATCTCAACTGACACTCGCATACATAAACTAAACATTTACAATTCAAAAACTTCAGTTTTAGAATCGGTCTTTCAAACACGCACACACACACACACACACACACACGCACGCACATACACACATACGTACTTAACCAGGCTGATATGAAAAAACATGTTTGCACACTTAATGAAAAACTGTCTCTGACAGACAAGCTAGTCTCACCACAAGCAGGCACACATTCGTACACAGAATGAAAAACACGCACTAACACACCTACTCCTTATATAGGCCAAGACACACAGACATAAAAAGCGAAACAGTCAGTAACTTTCCCTTCTCCTTGCTTTTTTTTTTTTTTGGGGGGTCTTACTTCAACGTCTACTCTTTTACATCCCAAACTTTGCTTTAACCAAATTTCCAGGTTACAGAAAACCTCTTCTTGAATCAGGCGACGTTTGTCCCATGTCACCCCTCACACCTCCGAAATGTTTTCGCCCATCGAGTTGACTTACAACTTCCTTCTCGTTTTAATTCTTTCTTTCTTTCTTTCTTTCATTTTCTTTCTTTCTTTCTTTCTTTCTTTCTTTCTTTCTTTCATTCATTCTTTTTTGCTTCTTTCTTTTCCGTAATAACGGAAAGATTTCTCCTTTCACTTACATTCATTCCTTTATTCTTATTTCTTTTTCACCCTTTCAATTATCTGGCCTTTTCTTTTTATTCTTTCTTTCAAAAATGATTCTTTCGATCTCTCTTTTCAATTTTCAATTTTATTTCTTTTTATTTTTTTTTTCACCGCAATTTCCTTCCTGCTTTCTAACTTTTTTTCAATAACGTTGAACATAGCACAGATCTCTGCAGATACTTTCATGTGTGTGTGTGTGTCGGCCTATAAAAAAAAGAAAAAAAAAGTGGATGTATGTGTGTTGCGATAAAGAATCACTCCGCCACTGTGGGTCATTTAGTAAAGATTGAAGCCACATTGATGAATATTTTCCCGGTTAAGTTTGTTAACCGTCACTTTACGGTAGACACCTTAGATAACATGTATGGATTTGTATTAAACTTTATTTGGTCCATATCATCAAAATACGTGGCTGAGATGCTCTAGTCCAGAGCAAGAAGCCCTTCAAAAAAATTTTGTATTTGGTCAGTTGATTAGAATTTCAAAGAGAGTCAAGTCAGAACTTATGCGAATTGAATGTATATAAATTCACAAAGTCTGACGATATCCAAGTTAATTGTTTATATAAATTGTTGTCAGTTTAGAAGATTTTCAAAGGAATATACGTTAGAAAATCCTTCATGTCTGGATGTGTGTGTATTGCTACTGTTTATAAATGTGTGAATATGCACATATATGTTAAAACTTACATTTAGTTAAGTGGCATTATGGGATGACCTTGTTTTCTAATCTTATATACATGAACATAGATAGATAGATAGATAGATAGATAGATAGATAGCTGAATGAATGAATGAATGACATTTATGAATGCAGTTGAATTTACAATACATTTTTATCTAGTTACCTACAGGGCAACTGCTAGTAATATATTCAACGTTTACGATGTACCTTAATATTGTGGACTTTTACCATCTTTAAAAATATTTTTTAAAATATTCATTATGCCAACATTCAGACTATTTTTAACATAGGAATTTTTAGTTGATATGAGCAAATGAACTCACACATTATTCATCTCCGTATGTCGGATACGGAAATATGAATAATTCTCTAGGTAAAAGAATTTTTTTTCCATAAAAACAAGTTTGGCCTATAATATTGTACATGATTTAATAAGAAGAATGGTGGTACTATGAAAGAAAAACTACTCTATGACGATAACGGGCCTCGAATATAACCAGAACACGCAAAAGTACACTCAAAGGTGTGCAGTTAGGATACACAGGTCCACATTTTCCGCGTTTAAAAATTGACTACTTTACTAACTACATTTGTATGCACCAGACGAAGATAAATACACACACGCACGCACAGTTGTTTGTGTCTAGTTGGATGTTTTTGCATCTTCACATAGATTCATAAATTATGAAGTCCGTTGTAGGTTTTACACCAGAAAGTCATAACATTGAGGTACCCTGAAGACCAGCGTGCATCACTAATCGACTAGTGAATATGTATGTACTCATCGCTATCATTCTGATGTTACTGTGTGTGTGTGTGTGTGTGTGTGTGTGTGTGTGTGTGTGTGTGTGTGTGTGTAGTTTCTCCCCCTCTCAATGCGTTAGTTTCTCTCTGTGTTCGCTTATTCCCCCTTTATTTCTTCCGGTCGGAACTTTACCTTTTCTTTCTATCTCTCCAATCGCTGTAAAAAAAAAAAAACTAAAAAAGTTTTTGTATCTCTCTCAAGTTTAAAAAATGTGCAGCAGTGTTTTTCTGTCTCACTCTGTTCTCTCTCTTTCTCTCTTTCTCTCTCTCTCTCTCTCTCTCTCTCTGTCTATCTTCTGGAGCAAATTTGCCGCAGGAGACACCAGTTCAAATTCAAATAGACAGGTATTATATGCGAGATTCCAAACACCCAACTCAGTTTAACTATATGTACAGTCTTCCGTTTCCCGACGTCGTATATGTCGATCTCAATTTATTGATGCATATCTGTCTCCTCCTTATTTCAAGTTTGTCCGTCTATCTATCTATCTATCTATCTATCTATCTATCTATCTATCTAACTATCTATCTATCTATCTATCTATCTATCTCTCTCTCTCTCTCTCTCTCTCTATATATATATATATATATATATATATATATATATATATATATATATATATTCTTGTCTGTCTGACTATCTGTTTTGTATCTACTTGACGCCTGGAAAAATAGCCGACAAACACGTGCATATCGATAGCAAAACAACCTCTCGTCAATGTTTCATCATCCCCTTTGGTCTTGTCTGGACAAACTAATGCATGTGTTTGATTATTAGGGTGGGGCGACAAACGTTATCTCTCTAGTCTATGTCACTGTTTCTGCATCTCTCTCTCTCTGTTTCTATTTCTCTCTCTCTCTCTTTCTCTCTCTCTCTTTCTCTCTCTCTCTCTCTCTCTCTCTCTTTACTATCTCTATTTCTCATGTATATAATTGACAATTACTAATTATCAATATAATGGCAAGACATTTGAATTTAACACAAGACAAAATCTGGTTTCATGCCTTTAAATTGATATCTCATAATAAACAACGGAACTGAATCCATCTTGACAGCTTCACTCGTTACGGACTTGTAATTATGCTTTAATTATTTCCAAAATATTAAAACGATCATACATTTATTATCCAACGATAAATTATTGCATTCATAAAAATCCACGTGTACATAACATACACACGCACAATTTACATTAACCGATAACGTGTACAACGAAATATTCATGTAATTCGACACAGAGAGGAAATTTAATAAAATAAGAAGACGTATACAAGTATAGGTATTTGTTAATAAGCTTAGTCTAGTCTGACACAAGGCCACACTACTAAGGCAATCAGTAAAAAGTGAAGTCACTACACTAGCGAAATATAAGAGGCTAAGAAGATAACATCAAACACTTATCGAACTTCCTACGTAAATAAATATGTACTTTCACAAATTAACACATACATATGAAAACATACACATAAAAATGTGTAATAATATGTACACATGTCTAAAACATTCATATACACACACACACACACATCCAAACACATAGTTACAAATGCATACGCAAAATATATGTACATCCCAACCAAAATATTCGATCTTATTTTTTCCGCGACACACGTCTGTAACCAACGATGTTTTTCTACTTGCTGCTTTTTCTACATTAATTAAGTTTTGCATCAACTTGATTGGCAGCTAACTCCCCTTCCCCTAGGTTAAGAATGTTTTGCGTTGTCTCATTCACCAACTTTGAAACAGGAGATTCATTCAGCGTTGATCCGGGTACCCACCCCAGATGCTCCACCCTGTGTTGATAGGAGAGTTGGTCGCACACCAAGGTGGGTGGAAAGAACGAAGTTAGAATATGATTCATTACGTACAATACAAGAAGAAAAAAAATCATAACACGGATATGAGCAATAAGCGGGGTGTGTAAGCTCTTGGCAAAGGGTACTTCCGATATACAAACTAATCAATAAAAGATAGATCGATAGATTTGAACAGACTGAGATAAAGAGATAAGTAGACAATAGAAACGTTGAAAGAGAAATAAACTGGAACAAAAAGAACTATATAGGCAAACTATTGATAATTAGTAGTGCGAATAGAGAAATGAATAATTTCACTTGTCATTGCTTAAAGCGTGAAACTGAGTGTTGACTTCAATGTATACAAACTATATCACTGACACCGATGCCATATAAATATAATAAATTACAAGCAAAATAATTGCACATGTTTAAATCAGGTCGAGTTTCGATCCCGCTTGAAGCAATTGCACTGATGCCACACTGTTGAGATGTGATACAGCGAAACAGTCTGACTTCATGGATATATATATATATATATATATATATATATATATATATATATATATATATATAAAGTTTGAGATTAAAAAGAACTGACAAAGGTTTGTCTAATTTTCAATATTTTTCAATTTTGAATAAAATATTGATCATTGTGCTCAACGATGTGTATAAACTGTACCGAATTTTGTTCAAGTACTTTCGGCCATCGCAATCATTATCAAGAACCAATGTGGTGTCTGTGTGGTAATTAAATAAGACATAAGACAAATATTAGTGAGTAATAACACCTAATGCATGTAAAGACTCCAAACCCTAGATGGTTAAAATTACTTGAACAAAACAATAATAAACTAGCCCAGTTTCCAAGCAACATTTTGTTAGATAGATAGATAGATAGATAGATAGATAGATAGATAGATAGATAGCATGTTAGGTGAAGGAATGTTTTACTAAATGAATATAACTTTTCAGGCGTTTTTTGTACGAAAACCAATTATACCACCCCAAGGAAATGTCATAGGCAACACAAGTCTTAAAATGAAGGGTTTTGCTTCAATAAAAGCCCTAATCCCTACACAGTGTTTCACCCCTTTTAATTTTCTATTTTGTCTTTACTAACTTTTAATAATTCATTTAAAGTGTCGGCAAAGTTAACATATTTCTTTTATTTAAAATGCATGTACAGCTACCAATGATAATATAATTGATTAGATAGAATTTACACTCTGTGGACAAAATATATCTATGTTTTTCTTGAAAAAAAATCAAGATTTTAAATGTTGGGTTTTATCTGGACTCGAGCATCGATAAGAAACACAAGAGCAATTATGTGACTGTTTCAGTATCCAGGCAAGTCTGAAGTGAATGGGGTAGGTGTTTATGACATGAATTTATTAGAGACTAGACAATTACGTGAATGTTATGATTGTTGAAGAGCATAGAAAGATCGTGTCTCACCATTATGCCAAATAAATAAAATCTGAATTTTTACCTTATCTGAGTGTTGAACACTTACTAGGTTATATTTGCGACTATCTAAGAGTCAATGATTGATATAAATGAACTATGATATGTGGGTAGGGAGACGGAAAGATAGATATGAGCAGAATGAGACAAAGAAAGGAAGACTTTGATGCGATAACATATTATATGAGAGAGATGAAGAAAATTCAATATACAGAAAGAGAGAAATGCATAGTTTTAAGCAAAAATACAAACAATTGGTAATTACTAGAGGAGTACAAATGTATGCACGTACATACACACGATTCAGCAAACATGAATATTCTGTATGCGAACCACGTGGATGCAAAATTCTCTGCTTAAGCAAAATGTAAATGCCACGTGAAATCTTGTTTAGGAGAGAACGGATCCTCAAACCAATAAGCCAAAACTTTCCCAATAAGCAACTGTCTCCTTCAACACAGATTTCTTTATTCTTTCTGTCTATTGCTTATATCCATCATTCGTTTGTTCATACCTAATGAGATTGGTTGATAAAGGTTACAAAACAAAGAAGTCAAGAAGAGGGTATGGAAAATGTTTACAGTAATTATTGAAGTATTTATGAAAACAGAACAAAACAGCAAACTGCTTATAAAGAGAATGATGAGATAGATAGATAGATAGATAGATAGATAGATAGATAGATAGATAGATAGATAGATAGATAGGAACAAGGTGAAATAGATATCGACATAAAAAGAGATACTTAAAAACTGATATATATCTAAACCAAGATAAGAACAAGAAAGGAGGGTTGATTAGGCTAAGATACAAAGAGTAATAAACAGATATAGAAATAACATTGATAGTCAAAGATAGTAAATGAATTTATAAAATAAAATTACAAATCTAAAATTGACATTAAGTCATATTCATAATGTCTGCAGTGGTGATTAATGAATCCCAGAGCGAAAATTTGCGAGACGAGAACGCTAACCACCGCACTATAGTGGATGCTGTCGGAATCGAAATCATAATAAGTTGAAGAATATGAGAAGTTCAGGTGTCCCAAGGAATAATCCTTAAAAAGTCAGGTTGGGAAGAAACGGATGAATAGACTTGGGGTGAGGGAAGAAGAAAGTTATAAATTCAGTATAAAAAGAAAAAAAGAAAGAAAGAAACTTCTTCAAGATGTCAAAATAAAAGATGTAAAATGACAAATGAAATAGTTTGGCGGGAAATATACATTCTTATTTACATTACGAATGGAATGAAAAACAGGCCAACATATGAACAAATGAAAAAATAAATAGAAAGACTAATAAAGAATGGAGAAAAGAAAGAAAATGATGAAAATATTTGATGATGAAAATAAAGCAGTAAAAGCTAAAATAGAACACTAGAGAATAAAGAATTTCAAGCATATTCTGTAACAAAAGTTGTATATTTAAATGAAGACGAAAAGTTTGTTATCGTTAACTTGACAATAACACGTGGTTGGAATCTACTCTTGGTTTCTCTATACCAATATATTTTATAAAAAACAAAATCTGTCTGCCCATCACATACATAAATTTGATATATAATATTTTATTTTTAAATTGCATATATAAAATTTCATTTTATAAAAACGAGTGTAATTTTTTAAAAATACTATAAATGTAAATTATTATCGTTAATTACATTGTCTTTGCTTACAGCCAAATCTCTGCGTGTGGGAAGAGAATTTTAAAGTTTCCAAATTGATGGAAAAATGTAGAATTATGTATTTTGTGAGAATCCGTTATATTAGTAAGCAATGGTAAGCTAGAACACACACACACATGTGTGTGTAAAGAAAACAAACAAACAAAAAAGGACGAAGATGGAAGAAAAAATTGAAGAAACTAAATTTACTAAATACTTCACGCTTCATCGAGAGTTTTAATTTTTCTTATTTTTTGAAATTTATTAATCGAAATCTTTTCCCCAATAGTAATATATATACTTTAATTTCTGCTTACACTATGAAAAATATTCGTGAAAGTTTGCCTTGCTTTTTTCGGACGTCAACGTTCCATCAGTGGCACTATAGTGTAATCTATAACAAGATAAAAGAGGAAACGACAAGTGACAATGAAGATAATATGTAACTTGATATAGATTTTGGTTGAGGAGGGGCATACTTTTTAATTGTTTTTCAAAGTATTTTTTCTCATTAATACTTCTCTAAATAAATAACTATAAGCTGCACTAATAACGACAGAGAAGCAAACATCAAAGAAAGAAAAAAAAACAGAGTAACAAGATTTAAAGAAAAAAATAATTTAAAAAATCAGTAGCAATAACAAAAATAATTGATTGGTTTGTTACAATTGCACCTTTTTGGTTCTTCCTTTGTCGCGTCTGCTGTCAAGAATGTCATAGAATTTAGAACCAAATATGATTTGTCACTGATAATGACTGTGTGTAAATCTAACAAATGGTTTTAAAATCATTATTTAAATAAGTGGCAACTAAAAAACAATAAATCAAAGATATATTATTTATATCACACACACACACACACACACACACACACACACACACATATATATATATTAACCGGTGTTGTAGAGAACACTGTAGGTAGTGATTCCCGTATGGTATCGTGGATTTTTCAAGTATACACAAATGAGTAGTGATGTGAAAATATTTGGCATGGTTTGAACCCAATTTCAAATCCAAGTAAAATTAGCGAGAGAATAAATATTTTATTTTTAATTTTTAAAAATTTTCTTGTATAAAATAAAATGCGAGAACGACTGCCTTTAAAATGCAATAGGCATTTCCTTAACATAGGAAAATGCCACCACCTGCGTTGTCAATTGGACGTAGCAAATTTTGGCCAAGTTCGAAACAGCTAATTTCTTTTCTCATCAGCCAAACCGAAAGGTAAATAGGGTCTGTGCTGTCTTGACAGACTTTATACTACTTGTCTTTTTTAGATGTTTTTCCGAGGTTTTCCAAGGACTGAACCCTCACCGACAACCATTTTTTTTTTTTTTTTTGCATTTGCATTTGCTGGACGAATGCTCACAGGTAGCTGATTGAGATGAACTTTTCTACGGATGATCGCGCTGTAATAGCAGTACAACCAAGGCTAGTCACTTTTATCGTGCATTTGGTTATTACAAGGAGATAGGTAGCACAAATAACAAATGAATGTTTGTTAGAATGGTTAAGCTTCTTCCTCTGCTAAATGTAACTGTAGTTGTAATATTAACAGCGGTGCAAGCAGTGGCAGTAAAATAGTGAATCGCGTCAGAAATGTTAAGAAAACTGAGTTGGGCTTAGTTTTACTATGTTGAGAAGTTGAATTAATTGGTGTACTACTCTCTGCAGTGGATAACAGGTATGATACATAAATAACTAAATTTATATTAAGTTAATCATAGGAAGGTGCTGTTGAGATTAGTTATAGACAAAATACTCTAACTCTCTGTATCTATCTATTTCTCTCTCTCTCTCTCTCTCTCTCTCTCTCTCTATATATATATATATATATATATATATATATATATATGCATATTAGTCTATATTGTTGCATATCTAGCTGTCTCTATCAAGCAGAATAAATAAAGAAAAGCTATTAGGTTTTGCATATTTGTTAAAATGTAAAATTAGATATGAACGTTTGAGTTTTACAGTGTATCCAGACAAATTAATTAAAACAAATAAATTCACTTTCTAATTTATTTTTTATACCAACTTTATCAGCTTTTACTTGTAAATCTAGAAATCTCTGTCTTATTCATTAAAGTAAAAACAACAACAAAACAACAACAACATAATAATAATAATAATAATAATAATAATAATAATGAGAAGAAAAGATGAGAAAAAGGAGAGTGTTGAAATACTGGGGCAACTTGCTGTCACGTGAATTTCAACGATTATTATTGGTATGAATACTCAAATTACTACTACTATTGATGATGATGATGATGAAAATGTTTGCGTGCGTGTATGTTCGAGCGTGTGTGTAATGACACGAAAGAATACACATGTTAGATCAGCTGACTGTGTCTTTGGCCGTTTGAAAATCGAATGATTCCAAATTTAGGGGACTGGAAGGAGCAAACCCAAAGTTATGGTCGGTTACTTTATTGCTGGCAATATTCTAAATCCAACGATTTCTTCTTGCTACTGGGTACATTTTCTTACTTGTAAAATCCTAAAAATCTATTGTGTATACACATCAATAATGAATGAAAATTCTGCATTAACTTCTACTATTCGACTTCTCACTGTGAACGATTTCACAAAAGTTTTCAGTTTTTGATCTTGTTCTGGTTTGCTTTCTATTTGGTTTTTTTTTTGGTTTTTTTTTTTTCCTTTTTTTTATTTTTTTTTATTTTTTTTTTTACTTTTGTTGCTTGACAGATTAGATGCAAATATTTTAAGGTATTTATCTAAATTGGAAAATGTTTATGATTTTGGCCGACAAACAAGAAAAATAAACTGAAGAATAAAAATATTCTTTCAAATGATTTGTTTCGTCCTGTATTCTGTATTTGAGTTGATCGATGACGGCCGTAGAATGACGATTTGAGAAATTAGCAATAAAATTACAAGGAAAGCAATACGAGTTGAAAATTGAATAATAATTGACTTGACAGACAATATGTTATATTGGTCATTTTACGAACTTTTGTGCTAACATTCTACCACTGATCTCTCGAGACAAAATCAAACACGTTGATGACGACGATTCCTTACTGTACTGCCCGGCTAAGTCGTTTCGATGAAAAGTAAACGAATTACAATAATCAATGTCCCAAAATTTATGAACGGCTGTTAAAAATGTAATAATCTTTTTTTATGCATTTACTTCTTTAAATTACATTCCTGAAATAGAAATAAATTTAATTACGTTAGAAAAATAATCTTGCAAAATTTCATTTTTAGTCATTTCGTAATTTTTGGTTGGGCCACCAAAATCTATCGGGTGGTGATCGGCAGTCAATAAAGTTTCCACGTTAAGGTCACTAAATATTTCCATAGATTCATAAATGGGTGAATTACAGGTGGGTGTACTTATTACAGGTGGATGAAATATTTTCCAAGTTTTGTTGTAAACTTAAAATTCACACAGCGTTGTTTTTACGTATCAGATTTACACCCAATTTTATTGTTTATGAGAGAAGTAAGTTGTTGTGCACAATCTTCGTGTATTTACTGCTTATAATCAGGATGATTGCTTATATTATTATTATTGTTGTTGTTCCTACCTCATTATTATCACTACTACTAGTAGCAGTAGTAGTAGTAGTAAATAGTATAAATAATAGTAGTAGTAATAGTAAGTGTTAATTGTTATTTAAGATACATTCACTTAATGTCATAAAGTTTTTAACAAACACGAATGAAATGCTGTTTGCTTTGTTTATAAAAATCTCTTTATTTTAAACTTAAATAAAATAATGTAAATATGATTCCTCACTTTATGCTCCATCTTCTCCTATTTGATATTATTATTATTGAGTTTTCTCAATTGGAAGTCAAATAACAAGAAATCTACTCAATACTGCAGCACTCTCCTCAGTGTTTCAGCTCTTTTCAGTAGAGCTGTTGTCATAATGAGCTCTATTCTCCTTCGGATTTCCAGTTCCTCTAGCATTTTCGGTAGGCTTTTGGGGATTGTTCCCAGTACTCTAACTACAATCGGTACTACTCACAACTTCATGTTCCACAGCTTCTTCAGTTTTCTGACGAGGTCTAGATATTAACGTGTTTTCTTTATTATTATTATTATTATTATTATTATTATTATTATTATTATTATCCTCTTTTTTCTTTCTTGCTCTCGTCACAGAGATTTTATTTGTTTATTCTCATCATTTTCATTTAAGAAAATTCAAACATTGTTGGTTATTGCCGTTTCTATGAAGCTTTAATGCAAAAAGCTTAAATGTAAAAAAAAAGCTTTAAAAAGCCTTCCCATCAGACAAAGATTGCTTTTCTATATTCATTTATTTTCGCGTTTCCCATGTCGATCGCGCAGTGTTAACTTTAATTCTCGAGAATTTGTATCATTCATTCCGAGTGAGTTAATGACAATGTGCGCACAGTGCCGTCGCCAGGAGTAGGGACTGACCCCAGAAAATCATATGCCTGTAAGAATGATGTAAACTATTTTTAAAAATTGTGCTAATTTTTACTCTTACCACCCTGTCTTAAAGCCTGTCTTTTCACACACACACACACACACACACACACACACACACACACACACACACACACACACACACACGACGGTCCATATATAAATTGGTCAGTGATGAATCTGATTTTACTTGATCTTTATATGCCAAATCAGTGTTTTGGAAATCTAACATCAAGACTCTTTTCTTTCTATCAAGGGAACATATTCTAACCATTGATCTGAAGTTGTTATGGCAAA